GAAAGGGAAGAAAACTTTTCAGTTTGAATTGGTCAGAAATTTTTGTAACCAAATTTTGAGGCTCGATAACCGAAAAGCTTTAATATGGGAACCGGCATAGAAAGAAAGCTAGAGTTAGGTTTAAACGTGATATAAAATGTTACTTGATGGATTAAAAAGGCTTTAGAGATTTTGTCTGATTTAATAACATATGAAGGATGTGAATTTACTGTTATAGCTAAAGGAGTAAACTTTATTAGGAGTAAACTTTATTAGGGGTTAAAAGATTTGATAGATGTAGATAGATGAAATGATAGAACATATTTTTAAAAATAGAAATGTATTTGTTAGACTTACATTATTATTTTAAACATGATAATTATGCTGTAATAGAGAGAGAGATTTTGTCTGATTTAATAATGAATGAAGAATGGGAATTTTCTGATATTATAGTTGATAAGTATTTGAAGGTCTAAACTTTATTAAAGGGGTTAAAAAGATTTTTTTATTGACGTAGATTGATGAAATGACAGAATATATTCTTAAAAATAGAATTATATTTGTTGGAGTTATATTATTATTTTAAATATGATAATCATGTTGTAATAGAGAGAGAGGAAGAGCTATTTGTGATAGAAAAAAATAGTTTCAATGAATGATCTATCATTAAGGATACCTGAAATCCCAACTATATATTCATTAAAACATAATTGGAGTATGAGAACTGTAATTAGTAAAGCTTAAAAACAGGATATAGATTATTATAATCGCAATGTGGATTGATGACTTTTGCTTGATTGAACTTTACCTAAAACTCTATTAATTTTAATAAGCAATATTATATCTAGGAAATAGAGAGGAAATTTTTGATAATTAATCTGAGCTATACTTATCTGATTTTGTCTTCAATTGATTTGTCGCCCTGACCACCACGTTGTGTCCTAAGCTTTTATAAAAATGGAAAAAAACCAATAAAACTTTTTTTCCAAAAGAATAGTCTTTAATCTTTTAATGAAAGCTATATTTCAAAACAATCAACAAATATCCACCTCCAAAATTCTAATAAACCAATTCACCACAGTTGTTACAAATCTTTTATCTTTTCTCTTTATTTGAAAGTCAAATTCATCAAGTAGCAAAAGAAAATAGAGTTGTAATGGGATTTTTTGCCACAAGATGTCCTCAGTGGACTGTAAACTCTTTCTTCCAAATAAGTAAAAATTTATCTCTTTCAGAAGCAGAAAAAACAAAAGCCAATATCTCCAATATAATAGATAGAGTAAAAAATATAGTGTTTCTTTTTTATTTTATTTTTTTCAAGGCCCCTAGGTATCCAGAAAGAAAAATCAAGTAGTCAATAAAGCTTTAATTATTTTAGTTCTTTTAAAACTTTCTTTCCCAAGTAGATAGAAGCTCTCTTAAGACAGGGAAGTGATCAAAAACTTTTTACAGGCAAATAGTCAGGACAGAGAGAGGGAAGAAAGGTCTCACCCGGATTCACCATGGTGGTTCTTTATGCTTAGATGATTTTCTGACTTCGACTGGCGCAGCTAAGTGATCGGCCATTTTATTGGCCGATCTTCTTCTCCGTCGGCCCTACGGAGTTAGTTCGGACTGCAGGGGGAGCCGCCGTTCCACTGCAGCCAAGCAAAGCCTCCTCAATGGTAGTCGCCCTTCCAGGGCGATTTAAGACCCACATAAGGGTCTACCGGCAGAGGGAAAACAGCCGACAGAGAGAGGTCTCTTTGTACGACTGAGGTGCCACAATCCGGAAGTGGAAGTCAGGTTTTGGTCACTTCTGTCATACTGGGAAGTTACCCACGAAGCACGTTTGTTTTTTTGGGGGGGGATCCCCACTCCGGTTGCTAAACTCTGCCTCCACTTCCTCCTCACCAGAGCTCCCCTTTGTTTGCAATGGTGCATCAGGAAGACCCCTGCTGGGCTGGGGATGATGAGGATCTACCTTCTGCGGAGTAGTGGCAGGGTTCCAGCTGATCAGCGCTTCTTTTGGGCTCCGCAGAAGCACCAGGATCAATGCGCTGAAGAAGCGCTGATCAGTTGGAAAGTGGTGCTGATCTTGGTGCTTCCATTGAGTCCTGACAGCCCGGAAGAAGCACTGATCAGCTGGAAAGCTGTGTTGATCCTGGCGCTTCCGCCGAGCCCTTTCAGTCCCAAAGAAGCACTGATCAGCTGGAAAGCGGCGCTGATCCTGGCGCTTCTGCTGAGCTTGGCAGCCCAGCAGCTCAAGCCGTCTCTCTCAGGCTTGTGCGATGCTGCCACCAGTTCAGCTCATTCCCTTCCCCTGCTACCACTTCTCTATGATGGTCGTGTACCTGCCAGGTGCCAATGTACCATTGGTGGTACGTGTACTACCAGTTGAAAAGCCCTGGTGTAGATGACCCCTGTTTTTCTTCTGGGGTTGTTGGTTTCAAGCTACAAGCCCTACTGTCTTTAGGACTGCCATTGTGTTTCTAGGCTTGTTTACAGTTACTGGGGGGAGGGAGAGTTTGGGATCCATAGGTGCTCCTTATCGATGTGAGAACCAAAACTGCTGAGGAGATGTTTTAGCAGATTGAAATTTCTTCTCATAAAAATTGCTAAAAGATTAATTGGACAATGTGACCTGAACTGTCAGAGAGGGGAGGGAAAGTTTTACTCTTTCAATTATCTGTTTCCTGCCATATTCTCAGAGCTAGCTTCCTTTCTATCTTATGGGTTTGTTAATGCCTAATACATTAGAGAATGCGGTGTCTGTGGGGTTTTGCGTTATTGGGCTTCTCAGCTGGACTTTGACACTGAGCTAGCTCTCTAAACATTTCCAATTTCATTAAGGGGTCCTGAGCCCCTATGCCCTTCTGGTAGCCTTCAAAGGGGTAGTGAAGACTCAGGAGAAGATGCCTGAAATGGAGCAGCCGGCTACAGCCAGGTTGGGCTCAACCAGCGGGACTCTGGCTGGGGCCGAAAGCAGTTCGTAACCTGATTGGCCTCGACATGCCCCAAGGAGCAAATTGAACAAAAGGAGCCAACCCAGGCCCCAGAATGGATGGGTGGAGCAGTAGTGTTCAACCAACTCAAGTGGGAGGAGTGGCGAAAGGGGCTGTGGAAAGCTGCTGAAGCTGAATTCTTGTTGTACTACCATTGGCCTGAATGGAGCAGAAAGCTGAAGTGGTGGGAGCGAGAAGCTTCAGAGTGGACAGCACCTAAGGACCGCTACTTGCCAAGGTGTGGCAGCCAATCAGTGGAGCAACTGAGGTAGAAGTTTAGCAGCCTAGAGGTCCAAGAAGGAGAGCTGGTCCCATGGCTGGATCCTAGACCCCCGAGGGGGCTCAGCTCTTCTCCCAGCACCGATTCTGGCCCTTTCACCCCAGCACTCAACAGGAGTAGGAGCTGCTGTGGCTGGAGGAGCATTGTCAGTCTTTTTTGTGTAAAAGGGAGAGGAACATTTTAACATCACTAATTATGTGAATTGAAAACATTTTTTAAATTCTTTTTGGGGTTGCTCGGTGCTTGGGATGGAGGAGGATCTGTTCTGTTGATGGAAGGGGGGAGGCTCTGTGTTTCCTCTGCTTTATTCTTTATTCTTTTGATGCATTAGGGTGTGAATGGAGGAAGGAATGTGCCATGGGTCATCTGCCTTATCTCCACTCTGCTCTGGTAGGAGCAGGATGTCATGAAATGAAACCTAGAGGATTACGCCTGGGAACTCTGCTTATCACCTTGGTTCCCATAACAACCTCACACCTGGGGATTGGATGAAATTAAACTGGACATTTGGCCGGTGGGGTGGGGTTTGAATGGGATGCTTTAGTATAATGTTTTGTGTGGGAAAATATCAGATCTTGCTTTATTTTCTTGCTATCATTGCCTCTCAATAAAAGTTCCTTTTGAAACAATGCCTGTTTCAAGAATTCTGCTTTCTTGGGAGGATTAGTTGAAGTAGGACCTTACAACTTCCTCTCAAGATGGCTGCTGCACAGTAAGAGTTTCTTCTTCCATTTACCAATGATATCTTGATTTCACTTCCAAAGATTCTAATTCTCTCTGGAAGCACTTGAAGTCACTTGGCATATACATCTTCCAGTGAAGCAGTTTCATTTTCTAAGCATGCCTGAGTATTAACTTTCACTTTTTGGATTTATTTTATTTTGCTTTAAAAGTTGATTAGTGGTTGAATGCTGATTTATCTCAACCCCTTGTTGGATTCTAATTGCTTTTTTCTTTTTACTTTTTGATATATTATTCTAGATAACCTCTGTCCCTTCCATATGGAAGCAAGGCAGCATTTGCGTGGGTGAAGAGCTCTCAGACTCTCACCACTAGATTCTGTATTTTTTGAATTTGCAAAATATCTGGAATTTATTTTTATTGATTTTTTCTTATAACCTTCTTATAACTGAAATATAGAGGAAAACATATCTTGACTGTTCTTGTTCCCTGGTCAAGTTTCACAGATTAAAATAGCTGAAGAGTGGCTGAAATCTAAGAAAGGAGAGTGAGGAAATATTCAGCTTTTAGCTGAATTTCTCTTTAAAAAACTGGACGAGACTATAATCTTTTTGCAAGAAATGTTAGGGCATGGAACTTTGGATGAAGACACACAGAAGGACTTTGATCCAGTTTGAGATCAAAGAGATTTTTGCAGCTGGAGAACTAACAAAATGGATTTCATCTGTTGTCCCAAAGCTCAAGCCTATATGTTTCTACTACAATATCCAGCCTCTGACTGAAAAGGGAAGTGACAAATTCTTTTCTTCTATGAAGATTGAGAGAGACTGGATGGATTTATTACAGGGTGGGAGCTAATGTAGTAATGTAGATCAGTATTCAACTAGAGGGGATAATCTGTCTATATGTATTGTTTTGATGCACCTTTTTAAAATGTTTTGATTGTTTTTGTTTTTTGTCTTGTTTTTTTCTTTTTCTTTTTTTGTTTTCTGTGGGATTTTTTCTTTGGGGTTTTCTATTTTGTATTTTAACCTTGTCTTGAATAAAATAAAAATATAGATTAAAAAGAAAAATAAAAGATTTCTTAAACTCTTCCCCATCATCATAAAGGTCAAGCTCTCGACATCTGATAAACTTCACCTTTCAGCATATTAAATTACAACTTAAAATGCAAGACGGCAGCTTCAGTCAGATGATGGGAAAAAGCTTTGTCATCATGTTATGTGGAACAATACAATCATGCCTGGGAGATCACGCTTAACCATTTCCAGGATCTGAGTTAGTCACTGAGTGATTTGGCTTTATTGTTTAAAAGTTTTCTGCCCCGAAATGCTGACTTGGTATCTATCATCTACTCCCATTTAAAGAGAGCTGATCCACAAGAGGAGGAACTGGACCATCTTTGTTGTTTCAAAGTATTAATTTTGAGACATGACTAGTAGGTACAGCTAATCCTGTTTTATAGTCCGTGAAATTAAGGTAAGTGGAATGGTGTCACTACGATTAGTGGTCATGCCAGAATCTATACTTGCAGTACAAGATCTACAGGACTGATTGTATTCACTTTGTACATTTGGATGCAGTTTTGCCTCTCATGATTTGGACTATTTTATTTTTAAAGATAAACATGATACCAGTTGGAAAATTTCTGCTTTTAAATCAGAGGGTTATATCAGATAAGCGTAAGCATCTTTAAACTCTCATGCACTGGTTTTAATGTAACTGTTTAGATAGACAGATGTTGAGCCAGATGGCATTGTGTCTCCCATCCAGTCCCATCAAGCATTATTATTAGTGTCCATTGAGATAGAGTATATATTTGCTATTGTGTTGGTTCCAGAGAGCTGGGGCTCCATTATAGTGAGAGCTTGCACTGCTTTGTGCTTTAATATTGATGTGCTACATAGCTCTTCAGCAAGATTCTTTCTGCTCCCCCTCCCCATTCCCCAATACTTTTTCTTTCAATGTCTGCTTATATTTCCAACAGTGCCTTGGAGTTGCTCATGCTGGCACTTTGCCTGGTGTTTTTCAGAATTCTGTTACGAGAAGCACAAGACAACAGTAAGCAGTTTCAGATTTGTCAATACATTCAGCAATTCACAGACTCCAAGTGTTTGTGTCAAACAGCATATGCTTTCATCCCTTTCATGTGTAAACTTTTAAGAAGGCCTCCACATGTTTCTGGAGTGTGTAGATAGGACTGAAGTGCATCCTGAAAACAAGCTTTTTATGTGTGATAATATCTGTGAAATAATGGAGGAAAGGTACTGGTTTGCTTATTGCTTATGTATTCCAGGACAGAGTTTTTTTGTGTTTGTGTGTTTTGTACCTCAATCTTAAAACATAGTCTCTCTCAAATTGAAGTCTCAGGATTCACAGTGTTGGCAACAGTTTGGAGATGGCTAGCTCAGAGCTTTATTCTGGGATGTTGCTTCAGTTTTCATAACCTGTCTTAGTCTGTCATCTCGGTGTTAAACATGTTTGATTCTGCTTAGTTTTTGTGAGTTTGCAACTTATCTGAGTAACTGAATGCCATTTCTTCCAAGTAACATATGCACATATCTAGATCTATGGGCATTCAGTGTCCTTTCTTCCAAATGGATTTCCCTACATTTCCCTAGATGTTGGCCACTTTATAATAACATAATACTAATTATAAGTATCCAGACTCAGTTCTTGAGAATAATAAAGAAAAAATTGTGTTGCTTTTTGCCTATAGTCTATAGATTAATACTGGCCAGGCGTGGCTGGGTGGTTCCTGCTATTTAGTATGAATGATTCCCAGATTCCTTTGCCATTGACTGGGCTGAGCAGTTTGATAGGAGTTGAAGTTTAAAATATCTGGCAATTGCCAAGGTGCCTATCTGTGCAGAAAATCACTAGTTCTCCAGTACAGGAGATGGATAATCCACCGATGGGTTTTCTTTGTCTGCCTGCTCTTGAGACCAAGTAGCCAAAACTTGACACGCCCCCACTTCCTGTGGAGTCCATTCTTAACTTGGTCTCTGCTCGAGAAGACTCGTTTTGGCGTGGCTCTCAGCTTATCAGGTTAGACAAAGAAATCCATTGATTGATTATCCCTTAATAATTGGCTTCCCCTTCCAAAAAATTGCCACCTATAGGAGTTTAACCAAAAAATTTTCTGGAGATCAGTTCTGATCTCAAACCTAAAACTTAAAAGGGGATTGGTGGGGGGGGGTAACTTCCCCACAGATATCAGCCAGCCCCAGGGCTCTGGGGGTGGAAAGGGGGGGGGGAGAAGGTATCAGCAGAGACCACTTGCTGAACCTTTTCCCCAACCACTAATTTTTCCTTGGGATCATCCCTGATCTCATATCTAAAATTAAAAAAGGGGGTGTGGGGGGGGGGAAACTCCCGATGGATCCCAGCCAGCCCCAGGGCTCTGGGGGTGGAAAAGGGGGGAAGAAGGCATCAGCAGAGACCACTTGCTGAGCTTTTCTCCCCAACCTTCCAAGGGATTTTGTTTTTTTCCTCAATTTGGGGAAAAAATAACAATCTCCAGGTCCGGATTCAAACTTGAATTCGGACCGTCGAAGATTACCTAGCAGCCCAGGGCAACCGCGGGCGCCATTTTAGTTGCCGCTTTCAGGCAACAAAGGCAATCCCCGGCTGGGATCCCCCTAAAACGTCACCAGTGCGCTAAATTTAAATCCCCGGGCACAAGCAGCTTCTGGGAGGCCGCGGAGCTCATTTTCAGAGGGAAACGAGCTGCGGCCACCCTCCTTTTTTAAAAAAAAGCCGAAGGGAAGGGAGTAAGCCCCAACTAAGAACTGGGGGCTAGAGAACCTTCCTGGGAACCGCGGAGCTCGTTTTCAGAGAGAAACGAGCAGCGGCCGCCATTTCCTACCAGAGGAAGTCAAACGGAGATTAAGGAAGCTCCACCACATACCTGGAAGCCCTGATAGCGATGGAATAGGAGTGCACAGTCAGTGCTCCACCCCCGATATACTTATATAATAATAGAATAAAATATAATAATAATAAAAATAAATAATTAAAAAAAAAGATTAAAGCTAAAAATTAAGCTACTGCAAGGCCAACAGGCCTAAAGGCAGAACACACAATATCATCATCATCATCATCATTATTGTTGTTGTTATTATTATTATTATTTTATTATTATTATTGTTGTTCCTATTACTATTATAATAGTAATAATATTAATAAGAATAAATTCCGCTCTTGGTGACCGCCATTTGATACCTTGTTGTGGATTAGGTCAGGCCTACAGACCCTTTTGAGGTCGCCACTGATATTTTTTGCCTCCCATTTCTTTTGCCTACTGGTGCACGTTGCCTGATCACCTAAGGCCTCCGGGCGGAACCCAAAGAGTGGTTCCAAACGTGCCTTCGGTACCTCCCTCAGCTACCGTGACCTTAGCCCAGAGAGAATATTTTTGTTGTGGTCGGGTGATCAGGGGAACAGTCCTGGTACTAGTTCCAATTTCGCTCCCGCCAATACTTGCCTGCCTGAGCGTCTTCTCAGTTTTTCTGGGACGGCTCAAGCGGAATGGAGGGACCCTCGTTGCCTCAATCCATGAGCACGACCCCTCCATCTCCCAATTACGGCTGCAACACACCTTCTGACCAGAAGGCGGCAGGCAAGTGCAAAGCGAAGACAAAACACTCGCTCAAGAGGCCCTCCAAGTTGGCGGAAAAGCAAGCCAGCCATAGGTACCAGGCCCTGGAGAAGGAGTTCTTCAGAGTGCAGGGGCAGGCCCAATTGGAATTGGTTCAAATGGCAGCCACCGAGATGGAATTACCATTGGGTCCATCCACATCAACCCAGAGTGTGTGGTCCATTCCAGGAACACCGCAACCACTGGATTCGCCATCCACATCGGCCCAACAAACACCATGGCGGTAGGCACAACCACTGAGTCCACCTCTCCACCTGCGGTCACCACACCCAAAGGTAATGACATAGGGGACATCTGGGCAGATGGACGGCTAGAGGCCCTATTAACCAAAGTGGTGGACCGAGCCCTAGCACAGCGCTCCGCCCACCACGACCAGGGGCCCTCCACCTCAGCCATGCCACACTCGGAACTCCCCTCAGAATCCTCAGGCATTCAGGAACCCACCTCCCCGGCCCAGTCCTCCATGAGTGGTTATTCTTCACCACAAGAGGAGGATCAACCTGAGATCTCTATGTCAGAGGATGAGGAACTTCCCCCTGAGCCCCCCTCAGGGGGATTATTTAATCACAACCGCTTCCTCACGATACTACGCAAGGCCACAGCCATTGCGGACATGGAGACGGATCAGTTTTCTCAGCCGCAAGCGACACCGGCCACCACATCCAGACCCGTATTTGTAGAAAAGGTGACAACGCAGCACCATATACCTTGCCCCGCCATTTTCCTGAAAGGGATCAAGAAGCCATGGGACTCTCCTGCTTCCTTCCCATCAGTGAGTGGTATGGACAAAAAATTATACAGCACTGCCGCAGACCTCAATGAGGCCTTAGAAATACCTAAAGTAGATGAAGCCTGGACCCCCTTGGTCTCCCAGACAGCCATGGCTGGGGACCTAGTGGAGGCCCTTAAGGCAGATGACAAAAAGTGGGAACACGCCTTTCGCAAAACCCACCAGACAGCGGCATGGGCCATCAAAGCAGCCACCTCGGCCTCCTTTTTTGTCCGGGCCACCCTCATCTGGTTGCAACAACTACAAGCCATAGTTCCTATGGATGACATACAAACACACCAGGACCTGGCTACGATGGTAGCAGCCACGGAATACGCTGCAGACGCAACGCTCCAATCGGCCATTTTTTCATCCAGATCCATAGCATCCAACATAATTGCCAGGAGAATGCTATGGCTAAAACACTGGCAAGCTGACACCAAGGCTAAATGGCGGCTAGCGACCGCCCCTTACTCAAGCAACGGTCTGTTTGGGGAGGCCTTGGGCCCCTATCTTGTAGAGAGCAAAGACAAGTGGAAGGTCATGGCACACTTGAACAAAAGGTCAGACAAACGTACCACACATTACTTTCGTAGGCAGTCCTTTCGCCAACCGACAACCACGCCTATCAGTCAGGCACCCAAGCCATTCACTCCCAGGCAGAACAAACCATACGGCCGCCCCTACGACAGACCGGGGTTCCAGCCCAGACAACAAAACCAGTTGAGACGACCTTTCGTGGAACGGGTCGTCCGTACCGGAAGACAAAATGACTCCTACATAGACCTACCCATTGGAGGAAGACTAGCTCACTTCTTCCACCAGTGGGAGCAGACCTCCACGGACAACTGGGTACTACAAACCATCCAGTCCGGGCTGTCCCTGGAGTTCCTGGTCACACCCCCAAACCGACTCATCAACTGCTCGGTCTCCAGGAACCCCACCAAACGCAAACTCATGCAGGAGGCCATCCAACACCTGTTGGACATTCAAGCCATAGAACCGGTCCGAGCGGAATACAGAGGCAGAGGATTTTACTCCATCCTCTTCGTGGTTCCAAAGACTTCAGGAGGATGGAGGGCAATCCTGGACCTCAAAAACCTCAACTGCTACATAACATACAAAAAATTCAAGATGCAATCCCTTCAGTCCATCCTGGGAAGCATCAGAGAAGGAGACTTCCTGGCGTCAATAGACCTCACGGAAGCCTACCTTCACATCCCCATCCACCCAAACCACCGTCGGTTCCTACGTTTCTGTTACGGGGGGAAACACTTCCAATACAGAGCTCTCTCTTTCGGTCTATCTTTGGCACCCAGGGTATTTACCAAGATACCATTTGTGGTAGCCGCCAAACTGAGAAAAATCCCAATACGCGTCCAATGTTACCTAGACGACATACTAATCCAAGCAACATCCCTACAGACAGCTCAGGCGGACGTAAGGACCGTCATTCGCGTCCTCCAATTACACGGATTCTCAGTAAACTTTCAGAAGAGCCAGACAGTTCCCTCGTCCAGGCTGCTGCATCTGGGGGCCACGATAGACACAACCAACTGTATGGTCTATCTCTCCCAGGAGCGAGTGGCCGGCATCAGGGAACTGGCTCGCTGGGTTCACAGGCAGCATTCAGTTCTGATACTAACACTTTCCCAATTATTGGGCAAGATGGTATCGGCCATAGCCATTGTACCCTGGGCCAGGATCCACCTACGGGAAGTACAGTGGTTTCTGCTCCCTTACCAACGGCAGAACACCAGCGCATCCAACCACCTAGGCAGGGTCACGCCACAAATCCGCGGGGCGCTACGCTGGTGGTGCTCTCGGGCTGTGACCAAGGGGTCACCCTTCAAGGAACCAGTCAGAGTTACCATCACTACAGACACCAGTCTGTACGGTGGGGAGCCCATCTGGACCCTCAGTTTATACAGGGACGTTGGTCCGCCGCGGATCTGAGAAACAACATCAACTGGCTAGAACTCAGGGCTATCCACCTAGCCTTGCAACAATTCAAAGACAGAATCAGAGGCCGCCACGTTCTAGTCCTAACAGACAATGTAGCAGCCAAGGCGCATATCAATCGGCAGGGGGGGACCAGATCAAAAACCCTGATGACAGAGGCACGACTCCTATTCAGCTGGGTAGAGCCCAATCTGAAGTCACTAAAAGCATAACACATATCGGGGGTCAACAACCAGCAAGCGGACTTCCTAAGTCGCACCATAGTGGACCCTTCGGAGTGGGGGCTATACCCGAACTTGTTCCTAGACATCTCCCGCAGGTTCGGGTACCCGATCCTCGATCTGTTCGCATCGTCAGACAATGCCCAGCTCCCCAGATTTTACTCTCGTTACTTCAACCCGCGAGCAGAGGGGACGGACGCCCTGAGAACTCAGTGGCCTCAGGGTCTGCTTTATGCCTTTCCCCCACTCCCACTCATACCGGCGGTCATCCGCAAGCTGATTCACGAGTGGGCAGAAGTGATCCTAGTAGCACCATATTGGCCACAGAGTTCATGGTTCGCCGACCTGATGAACCTGTCTCAGTCGCCCCCATGGAACATTCCCCCTCATCGAGTGTCCCTACACCAGGGAACCATCAGTCACCCGGAACCCCAATGGTTACAACTGACCGCCTGGCACTTGAGCGCCAGATAATGGCACAGGAACTATTCTCTCCCGGGGCCATTACCATAATTCAAGCTTCACGCCGTCCGGCAACAAATCACATTTACGACTCCACTTGGAAAAAATTTTGCCTTTGGTGCAGGGAACGGCAGTTTGACTTACACAAACTCTACATTCCTCAGATAGTAGATTACCTCTTGGAGGGACTAGACAGAGGCCTCACCCCCGTCACCATCCGCAGGCAAGTGGCGGCCTTGTCCACCCTCCTCACCTGCACGGATTCGGTTCCCTTAGCTCACCACCCCAGGATCCGCGCCTTTATCAAGGGCGCCTATAACACCAGACCTCCAGTAGTTCACAGGTACCCGTCCTGGGAACTACCACGAGTCCTTCACGCACTCATTCGGTCACCATTTGAACCATTGGCGACCGTTTCCTTGCGACACCTGTCGCTAAAGGTGGCGTTCCTGATTGCCCTCACATCGGCCAGACGAATTTCGGAACTGGCCGCACTGTCAGTCAGAAACGACCTATGCATTTTCCACAAGGACAGGGTGGTCCTTAGGTTAGATCCTTCCTTCATACCGAAGGTGAATTCACTCTTTCACAGGACACAGGAAGTAATTCTCCCAAACTTCTGTCCAAATCCAACACATGACCGGGAGCAGCAGTGGCATACATTGGACATCCGCAGAGCCTTGCGGCGTTATATAAAGCGTACAGAACCTTTCCGCAAGTCGGAGGCCCTATTTGTGTCCTTCCAAGCGGGCACCTTGGGGCGGAAAGTTTCCGCAGGCACCATTGGAAGGTGGATCCGAAGTTGTATTGCAGAAGCTTACAATGTATCATCCCTGCCGCCCCCAAGTCATCTCACAGCCCATTCCACCGAAGCGCTGCAACTTCGGCGGCATGGGCTACCCAGGCATCAATCGAGGAAGTTTGCAGGGCCGCGACATGGTCCTCGCCTTCCCCGTTTATACGACACTACAAGATAGACCGCTTTGCATCGGCGGACGCCTCCTTTGTTAGGAGGGTCCTCCAGCAAGTTGTCTCAGAGATCAATCTACCGGCCTTATCTGTTTCCCACCCCTTGGGACAGTGAGGCTTTGGTACGTCCCATCGGTGGATTATCCATCTCCTGTACTGGAGAAGGGGCGTTGGTCTTACCTGAACGCCTTTTCTCAGTACGGAGATGGATAATCTACACCCACCCCAAGGCCAGCAGGCCGCTAATAGGAAGCTGAGAGCCAATACCTCGTCAATCATCAGCCAATTCGCCCTCGTTAAGAATGGACTCCACAGGAAGTGGGGGCGTGTCAAGTTTTGGCTACTTGGTCTCAAGAGCAGGCAGACAGAGAAAACCCATCAGTGGATTATCCATCTCCGTACTGAGAAAAGGCGTTCAGGTAAGACCAACGCCCCATTTCATTCAGAGATTTTCATAGCATTATGACTGGGGATGCTAAGTATTGAACTCAGCTTTCTGTTTGCAAAGTAGCATTCTGCCACTGGACTATGGCCCTAATTTTTCCCATAATGCTGGAAAATCAACCTATCACCAGTTAATTCTACTGTGGATATATTTTAGGAAAAGGGAGGGGGAATACTCCTAAAAGCCCATCCAGTGACTCAACTAGGATAGGATTTTAATTTGGATTTGTGAGGTTCCAAAGATGTGACCACTATGCTACATTATAATTTTGTTGTCCATGGAAGGAAATCTAGTCTGTACACATATGAAGAGGTGAAGGTTCTCTCCATCAATAGGAGGTCAGAGTTTAAAAGAAATTCACCCTGTGGTTGCTGTGTTCTGCTTTTAAAACTGTAGTGTTCAGAGTTCAGGAAGTCTTGTGACAAGATCAGCCTCAAAACCAGGGGCTTATTTTCTCCATTCTACCCCTACTTCAGAGGAGCAATGCAGCTTTTGCCCTTGGTCTCCTGAGCTTCCATGACCCTATTCAGACACCTACCCACCTCAATGGAGTACATGGTGTTTAAGCATTAATTGTATCAGTTTGTGTTTGCTTTATGGTGGAAAGGAGTTGCTAATGTCCTGGGGTGAACCTGTGGTTACTGGTAAGTGGACTTCAGAGGAAATGAAATAAAGGGAGGAAAAGAAGGATGGGAATTGCAATATAATAAGAAATGTAACACTTTGCTAAGTGTTGTGGGGAATCAAGTTCCCAGGAACTTTGGGGAAGTCTTTGGAAGTATATTTACACATATCCAAATCTAGGCAAGTGATGAAATTTGGGGTGGTGAAACAATTTTATTACTGGTTGGATTTTGGGATAAGCTATATAGGGCATTTGCTTGAGTCACCTTCATAAATTATTGCTTCATAAATGTGTTTCCGTGGCTAACTTGTGTTCTGCTTATAATGTTGTGGCACCTGCATGTTTTTAGGCCAGTTTCTTTTGTTCTTCTTAAGGGAGAGAGGAATTATTATTGACCATTAAAGGCTTTATTAAGAGGACCCAAAAGGTTGTCTAATGAAGTGGTCAGTAATAAGCCAGGTTTTTTTTAGTCACTACCATCATGGAAAATATTTCTTTTTATATTCCTCACAAATAGAGATGCCTCTTGTCATTGCTCAGCAAACCTAACTCGTAGGGTTCTTGGGGAAGAAAAATTGCTGGAAGGACAGTTGGAAAGATCTTGCAAACTGTTCACTCCCCATCCATACTCAAATGTATATTCACCCACCAATATCTACTTTTGAGTAAATAAGTAGGAAAGTGACAGATAGCCTAGACTACTTATCAGCAATTCTGATTTGCTTATGTGGGGCTATGGTAAAAATTCTACTTTATGTTTATTTTTCCTCAGGTTATCATGTGATGTAAGTGTGAGACGGAAGCAAAGATAAACATGCAGTCCAACCACACAACTAGGAATGGCTGCCGAGTACAGGAAGTTATGCAGGTGAATACAGATTCCTGAACTGATATCTGGAAATAAGGCTGCTTTGGGTGTAGGAACTCATATCCAATAGGTGGAAGAAAGTTGTCCGGTTAAAGAGCTGAGTTTAACATGGAAATGGTATAATTTCTATGGATAGTTAGTTCTCAACTTACAACCATTTGTTAAGTAAACATTCAAAATTACAATAGTACTGAAAATGTGACCAATGAATGGTTTTCACATTTAAATTGCAGCATTGCAGCATCCCCATGGTCACATGATCAAGATTTGGGCACTTGGTGACTGGCATGTCCTTATGACAGTTGTGTTGTCCTGAGTTCATATGATCACTGCTTGTAACCTTCCCAGCTGGCTTCTGACAAGCAAAATCTGTGGGGAAAGTCAGATTTGCTTTAAAAAACCACACTGAGTCACTTAACAACTATGGCAAAAAAAATTGTAGAATGATGTGCAACTCACTTAACTAATATATTGCTTAGCAACAGAAACTATGGGCTCAAATGTGGTCATAAGTCAAGCACTATCTATTATACTATAGTATAATTCCTTTCTGCCCTATCAAAACAGCATACTCTTTCTATACTTAATTCAATTTTGGAGTTCTGCTCTGGGATTTATTCTGACACGGCACATGGGGTCACCTTCGATTTTTCAGAGCAAAGCTTAACAGTATTGGTACTTATTAATACGATTGGTGCAAATTGGTATCGATAATTGGTAACTATTCTTTAATTTTTTTATGTTCCAATTAGTATCTTCATTTATTTTCCTCTAAAACCCATCCTCATTATCTAAACCACCTTTTTACAACGCTATTATTAGGGGTTCTTGGTGCTTTCTGAGTTTGGTTGTTTTCTTGCGGACGTTTCATCTAGATAACATCTGTGCTAATAAGGAGTGGGGCTTGCTCTCATTCTAGTGGCTTATCCTGTCAGTGTTGCTGGGGGATGGTCTTGGAGGTTCTTTTGTTGAGCTGTTTACTGTTCGCTTGTTTGCAGTTCCTTGATTGAGGTATCGTTTACTTGATTGTTGGTCTGATGTTAATCTTGGAGTTAACCTATGCTCATTTGGGTGCTGATTGCTGGTGGGGAGATGTTTCGGTCTTTTTGTTCCTTTTTTGGCTTGTTGATTGTCTCTTTTGAATAGTACAGATAGTCCTCAAGTTATAAATGTAACGGAGCCTATCCATTCTATTTGTAACTCGAGGATTTGTAGTAATAAATCTCGTACCGTGAATGCGATTCACTCCCAGCTTCCGCCCATAAATTCGCTAATTTAATGCATGGGCAAATGCATGGCTTGTTAAGTGAATATGAGGTATTTCAGGGTGGGGAAGGCCATGGCGGGGACCTAGTGCTTCTGATTACCCAAGGTCTCCCCGGACCCACTGAAATATCTCATGCTCCCTTCCCTGGGAGCCCACAATTGCTCCCCCCATCTTGCTGCACCGGGTTACTTACCTTGTGAAGATATGACTCCTCTCCAGCCTCTCTATTTCTTTCTCTGCTCCCGGCAAGAACAGAGGGAGGCCTCTGAGGCCCAGAATGGACCTCCGGAAACACGTGGCCGCCTCCCGGCCTCTGTACTGGGCCTTGGAGGCTCGGAGGAGGCTTCTGAGGCCCAGAACAGGCCTTCAGAGCCCCGCTGAAGCATCCCCCAGTGTCATTTCCAGGCAGCAGCAGCTTGGGAAAAGCTTCCGACGCCCAGATCAGACCTTTGGAGCCATGCTGAAGTGTCTCCCGACATCCTTTCTGGGTGATAGCAGCCTGGAAAAGTCCTCTAAGGCCTGGATCAGGCCTCCGAAGCCCTGCTGAAGGATCCCTCGGCCTCCTTTCTGGGTGACAGTGGCCCAGAAAAGGCCTCCGAGGTCCAGATCAGGTCTTTGAAGCCCTGCTGAAGCATCCCTTGGCCTCCTTTCTGGGGGACAGTGCCCAGAAAAGGCCTCCAAGGCCCAGATTGGGCCCTCTGAAATGTTCCCTGGTGTCCTTTCTGGGTGGCAGCAGTCCAGAAAAGGCCTCCGACACCTGGAAATGAAACCAGGGGACGCTTCAGCGGGGTTCCGAAGGCCCGATCCGGACGTCGGAGGCCTTTTCCGGGCCACTGTCACCCAGAAAGGCCAGGGGATGCTTCAGCGGGGCTGCTATAAATTGAGCGAAAGCCTTACTAGCATTGATAATGTTAGCTAGTTTGGGTAATGAAACGAAAGAAAACAACCAAATTCAGAGAGCACCAAGGCCCCTTACTCCAACCCTGAGCTACAAATATTCTCCTTTATTGGTGCAACACTATTATGTTCCTGGACTTCAAGATTATGACAGAGGAAAACTTCAATATGAGGTTACAGTGTGAACAGGGAAAATTAGGTACAATTACAAAATTTATCTTCCCTCTCCTGCCACTTTTTTTTTCATTTATTGCCTGTCAATAACTGGTAACTGGTTTTCCAATAGCAGAAAATTTATGGATTGTACTGAAACTTAGGAAAGAAGCAGAAGCTCCTTAAAACATGTTGCGCAAGGGGGTATTTTAAAAGTCAAATCAAGTAAAGCATTTTGCATAACTTGAAAGTATAAATATTGGAAATAGTGCTTTTAGGCTACATCAACCTTAAGATAATAAGAGCCAGGGATTCTGGCTCTTATTGAAATGTCTTTAATCAGCCTCCTGTCTTTTGCTTCAAGGGATAATTCATAATATAATATTTTTTAAAAGTATTTTTATTATCTGAGACCAAAATTTTGAATGTGTCCAAGCCTATGCTGCATCAATGTTAAAACAAATGATCTGTTTCAAACAAGACTTAGTTTATTTGCTGCATTATTATTTTTCATATATTTTCTATTTTTTTTAGCATCTTTCTTGAACTGCATTGCCCAGACGTTACTAATATATTTGCCCATTGAGATCTGCCAGTGTTTGCATAGTATTAATAGTAATTTGGAAGTAGGGTGCTTTATTTAATGTTGGTGCAACCTAAGACAACCTGTATTTATGTTACTTTAGTTGATCAAGAAGCAGCTGGTGAACTCCATCAAGGCCCTGCAGAAACATTACGTGACCTCTGATGCTCTTGTACCAAGTGATGATCAAGATGCTAATACTCTTTGTTGTGTATTGGAGGCTGTATTTGTACATGGTTTGAAAACTAAGCACATCAAAGCAGAAATTGGAGCAAAAGGGAGAAAACATGGAGGGCGCCTTCCTCAGCCAGTGTTTTGGACTCTGCTAAAATCTGTCACACACAGGTGAGACTAAGAAATGCTACAATTTTGATTTGGGAAGTTACTGAGTATACAGTATGATGCAAGAGTGAGATTTTTGGCTGCAGAAAATCATATGATGTGTGGAATGCTAGAGAACTTGTCTCTTCTTGTCTAGATTTAGTAGATAAAAAAGCCCCAGGTTGTAATTGTATGTGTCTCAGTTACCTCTTGATGTGGCAGCAAAATGGTTCATAGGTTAAGATGTTAACAATGGTATTTCAGCCATAGTTCAGTAAAGACAGGTTTGAGACATGCGCGTTGTGTGATAGAATGAGCTCCCATCCTCACCTAGTCATTCAAAAGCATGCAGATGTGCTTAGATAAATAGGTACTACTTCAGTGGGAAGGTAACAGCACTCCATGACATCATGCTGGCCACAAGACCACAGAAACGTTTTTTTGACAGGACTAGCTCAATAGCCCTTGAAATGGAGATAAGGATGCCCGTTATTGTTGGCAATGATTAGCGGAGTAAAATCTACAGGGTCTCCTTTATCTTTTTACCTCCTGATGTTTTCATCAGACAAGAATGCATCAAACCCAACTTTTACCACCAGTCATAACCTTGCTTTCCCTTGCCTTTGTGAGCTGTCCTTTTAATGGATGTTGTGTTTTCCCCTTCCTGGTTATTTCTCCTTTTTCAGAAACATAATTTCTGAACTGGAAAACTTGATCTTCATCAATACAGATGTGGGGCGTTGTCGTGCATGGTTGAGGCTGGCTTTGAATGATGGCCTGATGGAGTGTTATCTAAAACTCTTGCTTCATGAAAAGTCTCAACTCTTTGAATATTATCATTCATCTGCTCTGCTTCTGGATACTGAGGAGGTTGAATTTCTCCTCAGCTATTTGCAGGGCTTGTCTTCTTTGGCCTTTGACCTCTCGTATAAGTCAGCAGTATTGAACGAGTGGACCATCACACCTTTATCCTTGTCAGGCCTTTGCCCTGCCTGGGAACTGTTGGACCCTCTTGTGGGACTGGAACCTCAAAGAAAGGAGTCACTTAGTTCTCTCTCACAATCTTCTGGCTCTGATGAAGTTGAAGCTCACCCAGCCATCCTGCCTGCCCCTAAAAGTGACCAGGCAGATAAACTCACAGCTTCCAACTTGAGCATCAGCACAACTGGTTCCTCACAGCTCTCTTCCAGCCTGGATTCTGACATTCTTCTCCCAGCCAATTCTACCAGCACTCACAGCCCTGCTCAGGAGAAAGAGCCAATCTCCAATGACTCTGAAGTGGAGATGACAACAGCAACAGCAGACTTGGACCAGGACCTCCAAGAGTGAGTATGATAGTGAAAGTGATATACCACACAATATTTTAACTCTGCAAGTATTAAAGCAGAATTTTAGTGAAATTCAGCATAACACTAAAATAATAATTCCTGGATTCTTAATAATGTGGTTGGCATGTCAATAAGGGAAATCAACCTGCATATCTTTTCTGCCTTTTTTCCAAGCCTAAAATAGAATGTTGCTTCTCCTATCATTAGTCCTGTTTTTGCGATTTTTCTTTGACCATATGTGAGATGCTGTCTTGATCAAACAATCTTTCCATTTCATTCATGCAAGTGTTCTGATTTTCTTTTCAGCATTTGTGTTACATCACAGAAGTATAATCAGTAGTTTGTGGGTTTTTCACCGCATGTTACATTATCTACAAACTTAAACATTGAAAGTGTTTAATGTTTATATATGACAATAAGAGTTTATCAGTTATAGGTTTGACAGTGGCACCCTTTTCAGAGCTTGAGAAAGCTGTAGTCTTGTCTGGATGATTCACTCAGTAAATCCACAACTAAGGAGCAATTTGAATTCGTGGCCAGTTTCCTATATATTTTATCTGCAATTAGAAACTTCACTCTCAAAATACTGTGTATAATGGATATTTACCTTGTCAGTTCTAATCTTTTAGACCAACTTAACACATAGTATAAAATGTATCAATTCTATTCATGTATTAAAACAGTTTATTTTTATGCTTGAAAGAGCAAGTTAACAGTTATTGAATGTGCTGAATAATATGTGACTAACCTCAGTCATCTTTGATACCTTATCTTTGGACTCCATGTGGTACATTAAGAGATAGAATTACTGGAGATGATCTCTCTCTTGCAAATGTTTTAAATTTTTCTATTTCTTTCTAGGGTGTTAGCAGAATTTACCAGGACACAGAGAAAGTTGGAAACTGTAGGAGTTCATGAAGCACACATCATCTCTCAGTCTTCCCCACCAGAGTGCCCCTGCCCTGCTACCAGTTTCTGCACTGTGCACCGTCCTCATACTGTACTGGAAAAAGGCCCTGTTGACATCATGCTACCTGCAATAATGATAAATTCACAGCTTCCCAATTTACCTAAGACTGGAGAATCTGTTAGTAGTACCAGTGTCCAACAGACCTCTATGCTAACCACAATAATTGTGACCAAAAAACCTGTGGATGTGTCCCAAATTCCTTGCAACAAGAGAGGAGCTAAAAGTCGGACTGATGAAGTCAGTGGTTATGAAGGAAGCCTCCCAGGAACAGACCAGCTTCTTTCACCAATCTCACCAGTGGTCTGCCCTGTAAGAATTACTTGTTTCGTTCTGTTGTGTTTTTGCAGCTTCTGGAACTCTTTCTGGCCACATTGCCAAAAATTGGCAATAAAACTGCCAAAAGAGTCAGTCTAGTTCTCTATTGTTTTGAAGTGGGGAACCTGAATTAGTGTAATTCTAGAACAAGCTTAGGATGGTTTTTAAAAAATAAGCTTAATATAGCAAAGAGAAATCTTGGCTTGTCTGGCTTGCTTTGTCTAATGAGGCTTTTGGCTCTCCTCAAATAATAAAGTGGTCCTTGGCCATCCTTTGTATTTCTGCCATAGTTTAGTAAGTTCTGGAAGGCTATTTATGTTGCCAAAATTTGTACACGAGGCATGCCAAATAGACCTTAATTTTCAGTACCCTCCTAAAAGCATTAATTTTTTTTTAATTTTTTGGGGAATCTCCCTGAAGCAGCCCTTTGGAAGTTGTTTATCATGGGATACTAACTCAATGTTTGGGGATCTGAGAACTCCTACATATTTTTTTTTTTAATTTGTATTTATTGAGCTATGATTAACAAACACTATCAGGTAATTAAATTAACATAAATCCAAGATAAAAAAGAAAACTACAAACAAATCTACTAAAATGCAAATAGACACTTGCTATACCTGTACAGATTTATCATACATGTAAAGTATTATCATACTGTTAATATCACTTTTTTATAAAGATGAGAAATAGCAAATCCTGTCACATTCACAGCTATGGGCCTCACAACGAATGTATGATGTTGATCAAGAAGTTCCTTTACAGCTCCAGAAATGCTTTTCCTGCAACTTCACTGAAACTTCCTGTCCTTGACTTCATTTCCTCTAGCTACAGTGCCTTATTCCTGGCTTTGAGCTAATCTGTATGTCATATTTAATAAGTGATGTCACCTTTCCCAGATCACTTTTCCCAAATATCACCTATCTAGTCCATTCACATCCAGAAGAAAGACTATGGAATACCTTTGTAAAACAGTGTCTAATATTTTCCCAGCCATTTCCAAATTTCTCTAAAAATGACTCCTGATAATATGAAAATTTAAAGGGAAAAAAAAAACAAAATTTCCGGTTTGCTTATATTTCTGTGTATATATGTGTGTGTTTAAATTGTTCAAAATTAATAGAATTTTAAAAAATTAAATGCTGATGTCATGGTTCCGATAGATGAAACCAATTAAAAGAACTTCAAGGCAAGGATTTCTTCCTTAAAGATCATTTTATTCAGGAAACAAAGTATTGGCACTTACATAGTTGAACTCAAGACTAAAGTTCCCTCCCTCTGTTACAAAGTAACAAGCTGCAATTCCCACCCCAGAAAGGCCGTCATAAATCACATTCACCAATTAATCTAAAATCCTCCCCACTTTACAGCCCTCCAAAACTTTATCTAGAATTGACCTTAAAGCTCACCTAACTGCAATTGTTTAGGCCAGGGATAGGCAACCTTGGCTCTTTTATGCTGGCTCAGGAATTCTGGGAGTTGAAGTCCACAAGTCATAAAAGAGCCAAGGTTGCCTACCCCTGGTTTAGGCTAATTTAAAAAGCTCAAGCATTCCTCCCACCCACCCCTTCTACATCTGAGAATCCCAAGCAACAGAAAAAGCACAAATAAAGTAAAAGGTAAAATGGCTGCAATTTCTTAATTGTCACAGTGGTGACATCTGATTTGTCACAGGCTGAATTTTTTAAATCAGATTGTTTAAATTAGTTGACCATTTTTCTTGGTGCTTTAAATTGTATGATTGGATCTTTTTTTTTTTTAACCTGATCAGTTCAACCAAAGACAGTAATGATAATGATCTGTAGTTAGAGTGCAAGGTCTCAGATCAAGTCATTCAATATAATACTCAATTAGAAGATGGCTGCTTTGCTGGTCACTTGCAAGAAAAAGCTCTCAAAAGAATATTGCTATTATCGAATTTGAATTTTATTTCTATTTAAATCTAGTAAAGCTCAGAATCATCCCGCCACGCTTTCCACATTTCTTAATCACCGCCCTTCTTTTCATTTATTCTTGCTTCCCATCTTGGCCTGGGCTCCATTAGATCTGAGCTATGTCAAAAGTAAATGCATGACAGCCATAAGAGAAGGCTGTCCTGCTAAGGACAATTTATTATTTTCTCGCATCAGCCCAGCTGCTTGAATTCAGTAAACTCAGAGCCAGAAGAATAGCTTGTTTGGGTAATAGCACAAATGTTATCTTTTGTTATTTCCCAACAGAAAAGAAGCTGGATCACTGAGGATGATTTTTACCTTCCTTCCCCTCCCGAGGAAACAGAAAAAAGCTTCTCCAGTTCTCCCAGTACCTCACGAGAGAGGCTTACCAGTACCCAACCTGCTATGCCATTGAGAGCCCCAGATCGAGGCAAGCTTTCTGTATCCTCAGCAGAGCTCAGCAAACTCAAACTGTCTCCTAGGAGGGAGCTGAAGGGCTTTAGTGTTGTTCATCGGAGAGAAATAGGTAACTTGTGTTTTGACTAAGGGAGGAAAGAGGAAGTGGAATGGGAGGAGAGATTTCTATGGCGGTTTGAAGAATTTATAGTAATGGAAGCGTCATCCATTTTGCTGCTTTACAGAAATGTCACTTGTGCTAGAGAGTGCATAAAGCTATTCCTCTCTTGTCCCACTTGTAGGTCTTTCCAATCCATTTCGGGGTCTGCTGAAATTGGGGACTCTGGAACGTCGAGGAGCTCTGGGCATTTGGAAGGAGTTTTTCTGTGAGCTCTCACCTCTAGAATTGCGGCTATTTGTAGACTGTGAGGAGCGAGTATGTGTAGAAAACTATTCTCTGCTGAGATGTGAGTCCTTAGGACGGGCTCACAGTGATGGGCGCTTTGAGCTGGTCTTTTCCAACAAACGATTGTGTCTTCGGGCTTCCTCCCGGGATGAAGCAGAGGACTGGTTGGACCGGCTGCATGAAGCCCTAAAAAAGTTTAGGTTACAGAAGGATGAAGGGTGGAAAACTCTAGAGTGCCCTGAGGCTGCAGAGGATTCTGAGGATTTCTTCGGAGGTGGACCACCTGGTGACTTGCCTTCCTTCTCGGTGTACAGTAGAACTGGCCCAACTGAGTTGGACTGGTCATGTGCCTTGAAACCCGAGCTAGATGCAGTCAAGGAATCTGTCCTGTACTTGGAGGTTGAGAAAGCATGGGTCCCTTTGGTGTTCTCCCTGTCCTTAGAAGCCTTGAAATGCTTCAAAGCCAGAAATGATAAAAAGATACTGAGCAACAGCTTTGGAATTGAGACCATCCAAGATATCCTGCCAGATGTGAACTTGGGTGGACCTTCATTCTTCAAGATCATCACTTCAAAAGCAGTGCTGAAGTTGAGAGCTGAGAACACAGAGGAGGCAACTGATTGGAGAGACCTGGTCCGCCGGGTGCTCATGTCCTACCTGGAAGTGGCTGAGGAGGCCCTCACACTTGGAGGCCATCTGGATGGCAGTTCACAGGCAATCCTGAAGAATACTGTTAAGGAAAATGGATATTTGCTGCAGTATCTGGTTGCCATCCCCATGGAGAAAGGCCTGGACTGCCAAAGTTTCATATGTGCAGGTAGGCACGTATGGGATGCTTGCAAAAAGATAACTTATGTCAAGCCTTTTTTAAATAATGTATTTTCCCTTCCAGTTAAACAACTAAGATTGAGGATTTTACTTCTCCATGTGTTCATTTGTAGTTTAATGTGATTTTAGAACACAAGATGTTGGTGGTCATTGTTATTACAGTGTTAACATAAGTTCAGATTAATTGTGCAGTGGTAAGTCATTGAAAAACGTAAGTCTTAAACAAGTCATTATTACCATAAGCCTTTGTTTCACTAGATCTCTTCAGTCTTCTAATGACTAAATATTAATTTAACTAATAGAAATAACAAGAAATTCTTAAGCTGGAATAACTGAAGGGGAGGGGGGCAATCCTTAAATGTCTGATTGTTCTGTTTTTTTTGTAATTGATTCATTTTGAATGCCAAAACCACACTTTATTTTCAGGGCTATTTGCCCAAGAAGATGGTAAAGTAAAGCTTGAAAAATTTTAGAGGCGCATGCATAGATTATTGGAAGTGATTTTGTTTGTGAATCTCTAATTAGCATAAATTCATCTCTGGCTCAGTGAAAAGCTGGTCTATTAAATGTTCAGAGGTTGCAAGTAGACAGGAAGAAAGATGTAGGAAGGTCAGACAATGTGTGACAGGCAGGTCTTATGAGCAAATGCAGTTTGTGAAGCCAGCTGCTGATATCGTTCTCTAATTCATAATCTTCATTGTCATCTCTAAATAGACCATAGACTAATCTACTTGTTGACTTGACTGCACTTTTCTCTGTTTGTTTGAATGAATGAATAATGAATTTCCTTGCTTACATTGGGCTATTCCTGTATCTGTAATTATTCAAAAATATCCAATTTTTGCAATTTGAATAACTGGGAAATGTCCAAGAATCCTTCAGTATAGAGTTCAGTCTAGAAACAAGATAGTGCCTGTGAGCTTCTCACAATGAAATGCAGGAATTTCTATTAGCCAGAAAATACGGGAATCCATTTTACTCCTAAGATAGTTTTGTGAACCAAAGGAAAGCTAAAGATTATACCTTTCGTAGTAAATCTGATAATAAAGCCAAAGATCAGGCCACATTTCCTGATTTCTGAAGAGATCTATCTTTCTTTCCAGCCACAGAGTAGAACAGTTATTATATTTCTATCCACTAAAATCAGAATAACAAATACTTCTGTTCTAAAACAGTTTTGGTCTTGACCTTTCTTTCTGCTAAAAATAAAGAGCAATAGATAAAAATATATTGATGTGTAATAAAGGCAGGAGGCGTGCGTGTGTATGTGTGTGTGTGTGTGTACACATATTACACACACAGGCACATCCATACTTGAGAAACACAGATCTAGAGACTAAGGCTGAGCAATAGCTGATTTGACAACTTTGGTTCAACTCTAATATCTTCCTGTTATTATAGGCAGTGGCCTAATCAGCAAATGGAGTCAGATTCTGGCATTTTAAGATATCCCTAACATTTTGTCTTTCCTTTCCAGGCTGCTCCAGGCAGATTGGCTTCTACTTTGTGAAACCTAAGCTGTGTTCATTCACTGGCCTCTATTTCTGTGACAATTGCCACCAAGATGAAGAGTCTGTGATACCTTCACGTCTAATTCATAACTGGGATCTTTCCAGATATCCGGTACGCCCAGTTATGGTGGGAGGGGACATAGAGTATATAAGCTCTGTTTGTGAAATTGTCTCTTTTAAATCCCAGCTGCATAACTATAGTCACAAAATGACTGTTGTTTTCATTATGAAAGAGAGAAGCTTGAGAGTATCTGTAAGGATCTCCTTCCTTTGTGTCGTACCTGCATTGCAAGTTAGCTCAGATAGGTGCAGGTTTTAAAAAGCAGATTAGCAAAATTTGACCTCCCTTCCTCCCTCTGAGTGTTTCTCCTCCTTAACAAGTGGATTCCCCAGTGCTGGCTTGGGAATTTGGGAAATCAGAATATACACATTTTAAATTTGTTGAGGTTGAGAAACACTGATTTAGCTTAAGATGTCAAGGACCATAAAGTATGAAGTCTATGAGCAAGGTAGTATTCTGATTAGGATTTTTCAATTTGCGAGCTGCTACTGTTTTTTTTAATATACATTCTGTTGTATACTGGGATTGGTGAAGCATTGAGTAGTCGGAAGGTTAACAACTCTTTATTTGAATCAACACAGAAGCGATTCTAACAACCGCTTGGCTTCTATTTATATTGGACTGCTGCTAGGTGGCAGCCAATGAATTTAAAGCACTATTTGCCACCTCAAATGCTGGCTTGTAACAATACACAAACGGTTAGAGACTTGTTTAAACATAATCATTTAACTGCTTTATAACTGCCATTGTAAAATGGTTCAATACACAACACCCCTTCCCCCTAGGTAATCACATATCACAATAATGTATATAGTCTTGTAAGTAGGCAGGCGGATATTGCGCCTGCCCCAATCGTTGTAGTGCCGTTGGAGGCTCCCGGTCTACCAGTCCCTTTGATAAGCCGGGTATATCAGGGTTCCTAGAGCTGCTCGCCTTGGGTAGACTGGTGCCTTCCTGGACGTTCTGGCTGGGTAGACCGGTGCCTCTCGGGATGTCCTGGCTGGATAGACTGGTGCTTGCATCACCCATTGACAGTCTGGGAAACAAGTCCGTCAACAAATCTCTTTCTGTTGACATAGTCTCTGAAGTTTGTGGTGACTCGGACACGCGTAAGTCACCTTGCCTCTCCCTGTGAGTCTCACAAGAATCGGGACTCAGGTGTGTTGCAGTCACCTGGCACTCGCCGGTTCTCCTCACTGTCAGCGGTCAGGGTTTGATTAGCCTGCTGCTGTTGCAATTGGTTGATGTGGCACCGAACCACATGACCATCTTCCAGGGCCACCTCATACAACTGTGGCCCCGATACCTTACAAACCACAGCTACCACCCATGGTGCCCCTTGACCATAGTTCCTCGCCCAAACTTTGTCACCGATTTGCTGATTGTGTGGGGGGCTTGGGTTGTGCTATTTCTGCAGCTGCCCGGTCTGGATGGAGGCGGTCCAGCTTCATGGTTAGCCAGTGTTCCCATCTCAGGCCCATTGAAGTGCATGGAATTGTGTGTTGGCAGAGCAAAAAGTCTCCCTGCCGATGATGCCAATCACCAGTCGTTGTTCTTTTTAGCGCTTCTTTGGTCGTCCTGACCATACGTTCTGCTTGACCATTAGAAGCCGGGTGAAAAGGGGCAGAGGTAGCATGTGTAATCATGTTAGTCCATAAGAAAGACTGAAACTCAGCAGCAGCGAATTGTGTCCCGTTATCGGACACAATCACATCATGCGTGGCAAAGATTCTGCGCAGTTCCTGTATGGTCCTGCCAGTAGTCATATTAGGGACAGGTGCTACCTCAAGCCATTTAGAGTAACTGTCCACTACAATGAGGAACACCTGTCCTTGGAAAGGTCCTGCAAAGTCTATATGAATTCTAGACCAGGGAGTTTGCGTGGTCTCCCAGTGATGTACTGGGGTTTGAGGCATTTCAGGTCTGATCTGCTGGCAAACCTGGCATCCTTTTACTTGAGCCTCTATATCCTTATCCAACCCTGGCCACCACAGGTAGCTTCTCGTGAGTGCATTCATCCTGACTATTCCAGGATGTCCCTCATGCAGAGATTCTAAGATCCTTGCTCTTAATTTGTGTGGGACTATAACCCGACTTCCCCATAGAAGGCAGCCCTTGTAAGCTGATAGCTCATCTTATCTTCCGATGAAGCTGTGAAATTCTGTCCCAGGACTGACTTCAGGCCACCCCCTCAGCACCCAGTTCAAAATACGACTGAGTGTTTTGTCAGTGGCTGTTTCAGCAGCCACATCCCCAGCGTGAAGGGGAGACTCTGGCAGATCCTGGATTGCCAGGATACGTGCAGCAAGTGCAGGGTCTGGCTCTGATTTGGCAGGGGCAGCCTGCTGAGTGCATCAGCGTGGCCCATTTCCTTGCCAGGCTTATGGACTAGCCTGTAATTGTAGGCTGTCATAAAAATTGACCATCTCAGCATTCTAGAGGAAAGGATCTGAGGGGTTTGCTTGTCTGCAGTAAACAGACCTAGAAGAGGCTTGTGGTCTGTAAAGACCATAAATGGGCGACCATAAAGGAAATCGTGGATTTTTTTTATTCCAGCTACTATTGCTAATGCTTCCTTGTCAATTTGTGCGCAATTTCTTTCCGCAGGGGAAAGTGTCCTTGAATAATAAGGGACCATAAAGTATGAAATCTATGGGCAAGGTAGCATTCTGATTAGGATTTTTCAATTTGTGAACTGCTACTGTATGTATGTATGTATGTATGTATGTATGTATGTATGTATGTATGTGTGTATATATATATTTGTTTTCTGAGGTTTTCGCGGGTATTTGTATGTAGGTCTTTGGTTGTTCGGGTAGTATATGTCCAACACATACTTCATCTATAATGGACAAAAATACAAACAAATAGAAGGAGCACCCATGGGATCACCCCTCTCACCTGTCATTGCCAACCTCTACATGGAACACTTTGAAACCCAAGCTCTAGAAAAATCGGATCACAAACCCAAACTCTGGCTCAGATACGTAGACGACACCTTCATAATCTGGCCACATGGGAAAGAAAAACTGGACAACTTCCTCACACACTCAACAGCCTACACCCCAAAATACAGTTCACCATGGAAACAGAAGCTAACAACCAACTTCCCTTCCTGGATGTTTTAGTCTACAAGAAATCCAATGGCTCCCTAGGACACACCATCTACCAGAAGAAAACACACACAAACCGCTACCTGCACGCTCTCTCACACCACCACCCAGCACAGATCAACTCTAGCCAAGACACTCATCTCCAGAACAAAACGCTTAGCTGACGAACAACACCTAAAACCCGAACTACACACTCTCACCAATGTACTAACATCCAATGGATTCCATAGAAATAAGATTACAAACCTAATCCAAACAGAAACCCCCACTAAAATCCAAGACAAAGAACAAGAAAACGGCAAAGCCCTCCTCCCATACATAAAAGGCACCACAGACAGAATCAGTAAGATCCTCCATAAACACAAAATCAAAACAGCATTCTGCACAAACAGAAAAATATCCACCATCCTTAGAAACCCCAAAGATAAAATTGAATTAGAAAATCACGGAGTATACGAAATCCCATGCACCACTTGTCCCACCACATACATCGGACAAACCAACAGAAGAATAAGTGCACGCATTGAAGAACATAAGAACTCAGTCAAAAAAGAGGAACCAACAGCTTCCCTGGTCCAACACCTTAAAGCCACAGGACATGAAATTGACTTTAAAAATACCAGAACCATTGCCAAAAGTGAACATTTTAATAACAGAATAATCAGAGAAGCCATCGAGATAGAAAAACGCCTACACAGCATGAACAAGCGAAGTTGGTTTACCTGAAATCAAGAAATATGGGTCAAGTAAAAAGTATCTTGTGACACAACGGCTTGATGAAAGCAAGGATTGGGAGGAGAGGCACACAATAAAAGCAGAACGAAGGAAAAAGCCTAAAGAGATCAGCTTGTGTGCAGAAATGAGCACAAGAGCGAGAAATGGAGCAAGAGGTTTTATTTTATATTGTATAAAACTCCTGGGATACTGTGGAGAACAAATTTTAATATACTAATGATGTTGTTCTTTGAAGGCTTGACCACCGGCACTATCTCCTGGAATGTCCCCATAAATACAGTGTGGCTGACCTGAGGCAGGTAGGAAATCTGGAAAAAAGAAATGTTTCAATCTAGAGGCAGGTAGAATTTCAGTTCAAGAAAATATTACCATTCCTTCATCCTCTAAGCTGGATTCCCCCAAATCACAGCCTAGCAGACTTCCCTACAAATTATTTGACACACCATGAATTGTTGCATCACTCAGTGTAGAGCAGGAAGCAAGAAACTTTTCAGAGTTGGTCTGTGCATGTTCAGATGCAATCTTTTCCTCTGAAGAGTATAGCAGATAGACAGCTAAGCTCTCCAGGAATTCTCTGGCCCATTTGCTTCTGCTTACCAATTTTTTTCCCCTAGTACTGTATGTTGCAAAATTTTTGTTACCTGCACTGGATCTGCATTAACAGCTGCTGAAACGGTTTTAAAAATAAGTATGCACAAAATGGAAAATCTAAGTTGTTACAATTTTAGAACAATTTGCTGTGTTCTAGAAGTTCTGCCAAGCCATTTTGGATCAGCTTCAGTTCAGCAAAAACAAAACCCAGAGTATTTGTTTTAGTTGTTTGAGGGGTTTTAGGAGTTCCTGCAGATTTTATTCCACTAGTTGTTGCCCACTATAGGGGGCACTGTTCATGTCTGTTTCTAGCCGTTAAACCAGCACTGTCCGAAGATGTTGCCGCAGTCTTGTGGCTAGCTTGACATCACAGAGCTGTGTTACCTTCCCATCAAATGTAAACCTATTTACTCACATGTGCATGCTTTCGATCTTCTAGGTTGGCAAGGAACTGGAGCGAGCATGGGGGCTCACCCCATGACATGGCACTCAGGTCTTGAACCTGGGTTGCCGGCTTTCCTGCCGACAAGCCCAGTGTCGTAACCACTGAGCCACTGCACCGCCCTCCAAAGCAATTGGAGGGTTTGGATGAAATAAAATCTGAAGAGATGCCAGATTCTTTTTACAGGGCAAGAAGGATGCATTCACTCCTTTTTTTCCTTTGTTAATTTTCTGTATAGTATGTCGCATACCCTCAACCCCTCTCATCTTTCCAGCACCTTCCCTAGCCTGCCTTCCCTACTGCTGCTGGAAGTGTCCCAAGTTCCGCATGTCCCATTAATCTCCCCATTCCAGGTCTAGGACAATTCGCCGTGGCCATGTCACTACAGCCAACTCACTGCGGAACAATTTGCTGGGGGACAATTCCATGCGGATAACTCAACGCCTTGCTTCTACCTGGCAAGCCTTCCCGGTTTCTTTGCATGGAAAAGAGGCTTGGAGAATTTGGTCCTCCTTTTCATGGAAGCCCCCAGCCCTGGGAGCATTGTGCATCTGGAGGGGGGTATCAAGACCCAGAGGCCATCCCAACCTTGGAACCCCCCTCGTCTATGGCCTATCAGATCAACCTGAGAGCCTTGGCCATGCTGAGGCTGTGGGAAAGCATTGAACCTCTTCCTCCTCCACTCTGAGTAGGTCAGTCCCTGGATCCAGGGTTACCCCATCTTCCCCCAATGCAATCTGGCTCAGAGAGGTGATGCCAGAGCCAATAAACTGCCACCACTGTCTAGATGGGTAAATTAATCAAGAATTGCATCCTGCCCAAGCGCTCCCTGGGCATTGAGCTTTGCCCACCTGGCTACGCTGCCCTTGCTCCCTGCCAACACTGGATCTCCCTTCCCCAGAGCCTGCGGAACTCCTAGCTACCAGTAGTAAAGGAGACCAGGAGGGGATGGATCTGCACACACACACCCAAGTCCAACTCTGTCCATCCAGACACTCCTTGCCTAGCTGAAAAAGAAGGCATTGCTCTGCCAATTCTGTGAGGTAGCTTGGGGGAATCAACTGATGAAATCCATCTGGCACCAGCAGGGAGTGAGGGCAGTATAGCTGATTGGGGTGTGTGAAGTGCAATTTCTGGGGAATGCTCGCTAGAGGGCTCGATCCTTGATTAATTTGCCCATTTAGCTACTGACGGCAGCAGCACTTTATCATCTCTGGCATCACCTCTCCAAGCCAGATCACAGCGGAGGAAGATGGGGGTCCCCCTGGATCAAGAGATTGACTTGACTTACAGCAGAGGAGAAGAAGGCTTGGTCCTTTCCCACAGCCTCAGCATGGCCAGGGTTCTCCGGGTGATCTGGTAGGGCAGGGGCAAGGATTCCAAGGCAGACATAGCCCTGGGATTTCGACAACCGCTCTCCAGGGGCAAAATGCCCATGGTGCTAGGAACCTCCATGAAAAGGAGGACCAAATTCCTTAAGCCTCCTTTTCCATGCAAAAAAACCCTGGAGGGCTTGCCAAACCGAAGCAAGGCATTGAGTTATCCCATGTGGAACTATCCTAAGATGAGTTTCCTGTGCGAGTTGTCCTGCAGCAACTTGGCCGGGGCAACATGGCCACAGCGAGTTGTATCATTCCGACCCACTCCTACTATCTTCCCCCATGATCCTTCATGTGCTTTCCCTTACCTCCCTCATCTTGGCTATCTTTGCTAATGTAACTTATTTCTCCATCTGTTTCTTATCCTACCATGGCATATCTTGCCACTCACTCCCTGATCTTTTCAACACCATCACTTCCCTGCCAGCCATCAGCTGCTGCCTGTGTCCATTCCATAATCCTTACCTAACCTCCTCTGAACTACTTCTACCTAGACACGCCATGCACAATATATTACAAGCAAGTTGGTTTAAATTCATGCATAAGCCAAAACATATGAAACACAACCTATTCTGATTTTGACATGGACCAGCCAAAACCAGCTGTTTCATGCCTTCAAATGTTTTAAATCAGACTGGCATCATAAGGGCCTTGGCCATTTTTTGCTGAATGACATGTGAATTTTGAGAATTCCTGTGACAGCAGAAGTGGTTTCCCTGCTCCTTACCAACTGCTCATGGCCCTTCTCTCCTCTTAGATAGCAGATGGTATATTTGAAACTTTTCTTCAGTCGCTGATCCAATTTGCCTCCCACCATGTGTATAGTTGTGATCTTTGTACTCAGAGGGGCTTCATCTGCCAAATATGCAACAAGAATGACATCATCTTTCCCTTTGAATTTGATACAACCAGCAGGTAAGTTTTACACATGTCCTTTCCTCTAGAACTGAATACACATTTTAAAGAAACTAAAATAAAATTAGTATATATAGTATTCAGTATATATTGACCATATCTTGGAACTTGCTGTGATAGCACATCAGGAAACTGAGTTATTTGTGGCACTATTCTCTCCCTTAGGACAGTGGCCCATGACAGTCCCTAAAGACAGCTGCCTGTCCCACTTTGCTCTAATATGATAGGCAGACTTGGGGTCCCCTGATAGGAGCTAGATTGCATTCCTTCTCAGTAGCAGTGCCTTGGGATGATCTTACCCCCCCCCCCACATACACAAAGGATGCTAAGTTGGCCCGGATCCTACTGGCCTTTAGGAAAATTTTAAAAACATGGTCATATCCCCAAGCATTGGACCACGGTGTGTAAGTTCCCACCGGAAGAGGGTACAAACGTTAGCCAAGTTGCCTGTTACCTATTATTGTTGTTCATTGTAGTTTTATTTTGGTTCTTTCTTTTTTTTAATAAGCTGACCACAATGGCATTTCCAGGTTGGTTGGGCATATATATTTGTAAATAAATAAATAAGTCCATCCTTTCATTCATTTACATAGCATAGTCAGAACTAGAACTAGATCAGGTAAGAGTCAAGATAATTAATTGAATGTTAATGAAATCCTTAAATCCTTATCATAATGATAAGTAACAGAATGCTTATAAACATATAAATGTCCTTCTTAGAAAACATTTATTTGTTCGAGTCGGGGGTCAGGCCCTTTGACTGAGAGATTACTGAGAGGATACAAAAAATTAAAATAATAGCCTTAGCTCACCATGTATTTTTTTTTTTTTTTTTTT